GCCGCATGAGTTTTGCAAACCAAGTTGCGGGCGGGTGGGTTGGATGATTGCTCGAGCAATGGACTTGACAACTTCGAGCTCGGCAGATGAATTCTCCTCTCTAAAAACAGAATAGACTCTTCCCCCCCCCGGCGTTATCCCCCCTTGCGGGTATGTAAATCATATATGATTATGACCGGTGTCCATCCTAAATGCGAACTTACACTATCCCACAGGGGCCCGCATCGACCCCCCTGAGGTTTCCGTTTTTGTTCCCAACCATCCTGTGGTGTTGGGTCCTCGTTCTGAAGAGACAGCGCCCCGCGTTCCCACCTTCCTCCCGCTGCCCCCTCCCCCTCCCCCTCCTCCTCCCTCTCCTCCCTCCTCCCTGCGTTTCACACACCCATTACAACGCTTCGTGGCTCCATAGGGAGCTCCAGCAAAGGCCCCAGTGGCAGGGTCCGCATGCAGTTCCACCTCCATTCCGGCGCACCTCTCACACGTTTCGTGGCCCCATAGGGTGCTCCACCCAAGGCCCCAGTGGCAGGGTCCGCATGCAGTTCCACCCCCATGTCGGCGCACCCCTCACACGTTTCGTAGCCCCATAGGGTGCTCCGCCCAAGGCCCCAGTGGCAGGGTCCGCATGCAGTTCCACCTCCATCTCGGCGCACCCCTTCCACATTTCGTGGCCCCATAGGGTGCTCCGCCCAAGGCCCCAGTGGCAGGGTCCGCATGCAGTTCCACCCCCATCTCGGCGCACCCCTCACACGTTTCGTGGCCCGATAGGGTGCTCCGCCGAAGGCCCAAGTGGCAGGGTCCGCATGCAGTTCCACCCCCATTTCGGCGCACCCCTCACACATTTCGTGGCCCCATAGGGTGCTCCGTCGAAGGCCCTCGTGACAGGGTCCGCATGCAGTTCCACCCCCATCTCGGCGCACCCTTCACACGTTTCGTGGCCCCATAGGGTGCTCCACCCAAGGCCCCAGTGGCAGGGTCCGCAATAGCCAGTACCCACCTCCATTTCGGCGCACCCCTCACACTCTCGTGGCCCCATAGGGTGCTCCGCGAAGGCCCCAGAGGCAGGGGGTCAGCATGCATTTCATCCCATAATCGGCACACCCCCTCACGCGTTGCGTGCCCCATATTGTTGCTCCGCCGAAGGGCTCCATGCGGCAGAGTCGCATGCAGTCCACCTCCATTTCCGGCGCACACCCCCTCGACAAGTTCGTTCTGTTACCAACATAGGGTGCTCCACCGAAGGCCCCCCGTGGCAAGTCCCGCCTGCAGTATCCACAATCCATTTCGGGCACCCCTCACAACGTTATTCGTGGCCCCAAGTGAGTGTACCACTTAAGGCCTCATTGGCAGGTCCGCATGCAGGGACCAACCTCCTTATCGGGCGCGGAAACCCTTTCCACGTTTCGCAGCCAACCAAAGCCCTGGTTCAGCGCACGTGTTCCACCCTAATGCATTTCGGTTTTCGGCGGCACCCCTCACACGTTTCGTGGCCTCAGATGGGGCTGCAACGACAGCTCTGGTGGCAGCGTCCGCATGGCGTACCCGTGCCAATTTTGGCAACCCCGTCACACGCGTCGTGGCCCCAGAGGGATGTTCACCGAGGACGATACCCACACCTGCGTTACACACAGCTGCACATGGTTGGGCCCATATTCGCCATGGAGTTGTTCCGTATGGAGTTTTTTATTGCCAACCATCCTGTGGCGTTTTTGGGTAGTCCGGTCGCTCTGAAGAGACAGCGCCCCGCGTTCCCACCTTCCTCCCGCTGCCCCCCTCCCCCCTCCCCCTCCTCCCTCCTCCTCCCTCTCCTCCCTCCTCCCTGCGATTCACCCACCCATTACAGCGTTTCGTGGCCCCATAGGGAGCTCCAGCAAAGGCCCCAGTGGCAGGGTCCGCATGCAGTTCCACCTCCATTTCGGCGCACCTCTCACACGTTTCGTGGCCCCACAGGGTGCTCCACCCAAGGCCCCAGTGGCAGAGTTCCGCATGCAGTGTCCACCCCCTGTCGGCCACGCCCTCACACGTTTCTGGCCCCAAGGGTGCTCCACCCAAGGCCTCCATTGGCAGGGTCCCGCATGCAGATTCCACCTCCATTCGGACGCACTCCTCACACGTTTTCGTGCCCTAATAGGGTGCTCCGCCCAAGGCCCAAGAGGCAGGGCCCGCATGCAGTTCCACTTCCATTTCGGCACACCCCTCACACGTACCGTGGCTCCATAGGGTGCTCCGCCGAAGGCCCCAGTGGCAGGGTCCGCATGCAGTTCCACCCACATGTCGGCGCACCCCTGACACGTTACGTGGCCCCATAGGGTGCTCCGTCGAAGGCCCTCGTGACAGGGTCCGCATGCAGTTCCACCCCCATCTCGGCGCACCCCTCACACGTTTCGTGGCCCCATAGGGTGCTCCGCCGAAGGCCCTAGTGGCAGGGTCCGCATGCAGTTCCACTCCCATGTCGGCGCACCTCTCACACGTTTCGTGGCCCCATAGGGTGCTCCGCGGAAGGCCCCAGTGGCAGGTCTGCAAGCGGGGGTTCCACCCCCGTAATTTTCGGCGCACCCCTCACATTAACATTTCGTGGGCCCATAGGGTGCTCCGATCGAAGTGCCCTCGGACAGGGACCGCATGCAGTTCCACCCCCATCTCGGCGCACCCCTCACACGTTTTCGTGAGGCCCCATAGGTAGCTCCGCCGAAGGCCCTAGTGGCAGGGGTCCGCAAGCAGTTCCACTCCCATGTCGGCGCACCTCTCACACGTTTCGTGGCCCCATAGGGTGCTCCGCGGAAGGCCCCAGTGGCAGGGTCAGCATGCAGTTCCATCCCCATGTCGGCGCACCCCTCACACGTTTCGTGGCCCCATACGGTGCTCCGCCGTAGGCTCCAGTGGCAGGGTCCACATGCAGTTCCACCCCCATTTCGGCGCACACCTCACACGTTTCGTTACCCCATAGGGTGCTCCATTCAAGGCCCCCGTGGCAAGTCCGTATGCAGCTCCCCCTCCATGTCGGCGCACCCCTCACGCGTTGCGTGGCCTCAGATGGGGCTGCACCGACGGCTCCTGTGGCAGCGTCCGCATGGCGTACCCGTGCCAATTTTGGCACACCCGTCACACGCGTCGTGGTCTCAGAGGGAAGTTCACCGAGGCCGATACCCACACCTGCGTTACACACAGCTGCACATGGTTGGGCCCTTCGCCGGGATAGTTAAAATTAGCCTGGCGAAAGACCCAACCATATGCAGTTGTGGGTATCGCATTCGGGGAAGCCCCCTTATGGGGCCACGCAACGCTGTACTGGGTGGGGGGGACGCATGCGAACTGCGCCACTGGGACCTTCGGTGGAGCTCTCTATGGGGCCACGAAGCGCTGTACTGGGTGTGGGGAGGACGCATGCGAACATGCGCCACGGGCAACCTTCGTGGAGCTCCCTATGGACCACGAAACGCAAAAACTGGACGCAGCGAACAGCGCCACTGGGAACCTCGGGAACCTTCGGGGCAGCTCCCACGGGGCTACGTAAACCTACTGCCCTGGGTGGGGGGGGGGAGGGGGGCGCTTGCGACTGCGCGAACTGGGCCTAAGGTGGAGCTACTCTATGGTGCCACAAAACGCTTCCCTGGGGGGGGTGGGGGAAACCGCATAGGCGGGCTTGGTGCCACTGCGGCCTTAGGTGGAGCTCCCTATAGGGCCACGAAACGCTGTCTTGGGTGGGGGAACCGCATGCGAGATCAGCCACTGGGGCCTTCGGTGGAGCTCCCTATGGGGCCACGAAACGCTGCCCTGGGTGGGGGAACCGCATGCGGGCTGTGCCACTGGGACCTTCGGTGGAGCTCCCTATGGGGCCACGAAGCGCTGCCCTGGGTGGGGGAACCGCATGCGGGCTGTGCCACTGTGACCTTCGGTGGAGCTCCCTATGGGGCTACGAAACGCTGCCCTGGGTGGGGGAACCGCATGCGGGCTGTGCCACTGGGACCTTCGGTGGAGCTCCCTATGGGGCCACGAAACGCTGCCCTGGGTGGGGGAACCGCATGCGGGTTGTGCCACTGGGACCTTCGGTGGAGCTCCTTACTTGGCCACGAAGCGCTGCCCTTGGTGGGGGAACCGCATGCGGGCTGTGCCACTGGGACCTTCGGTGGAGCTCCCTATGGTGGCAACGAAACGTAAAGGCCCATGGGTGGTGAACCGCATGCAGGCAGCAGGGCTGGTGCCAACTGGCCCCTTCGTGAATCACCCTATGGGGCTACCGAAACGATGCCCTGGTGGGGGAACCGCAAAATGCTGGCTGTGGCACGGGACCTTCGGAGGAGCTCCCTGTGGTGCCACGAAGCGCGTGCCCATGGGTGGGAGGAACCGCAAATGCGGGCTGTGGCCACTGGACCTTTCGGGCTGAGCACCCTAGGGGCTACGAAACGCTGCCCTGGGTGGAGGAACCGCATGCGGGCTGTGCCATTGGGACCTTCGGTGGAGCTCCCTATGGGGCTACGAAACGTGTGAGGGGTGTGCCGAGAGCAGAGGCAAGGAGGGGGAGGAGGGAGGAGGGCGAGGATAATATAAGATAAGAGCACCATTGACGCCATGTGTCACTATGTCTTTGTAAGCAACGGCATCGGTGAGGCACAAAAAGTGTGCCAACGGAAGACGATCGACAGGCTCCCTGCGCTGGGCGTCCAGCGACTGGCCTGCGAGCGCCACGGCTCATGGATGGCCCACACGTGGGCTCGATAGCACAAGCCGCCAGCCTCATTGCCATCCCCCCCGCCCCCGTCCACCCGCCGTACCCCGCCCCCGTCCCTTTCCTTTGGCAACAGCCGGCCTAAAACGGCCTTCCTGCTGTCTTACAAAAGTTAGTGCAGCACCAGGCGACAGACTGCCACTGCGCAGCAACGCAGCCATGCGCACTGAAAAAGCCTCAAGTCGAGCCGCAAGTCTCCGCACCTGCGACTCCGAGCTACCGACCTCACGAACGCCTCCTCCAGGAGGTCTCACACTCGTGGGTGGTCGCCAAGGCCTCACATTTTGTTGAGCTCCTCCAGCAGCTTCGACGCCTCTCTCTCGAGTGGCCCACGAGGAGGCGGCCCCACCTTCAGAACGCCATTCTCTTTCTTCAGCGCCTCCAACACTGCGTCCTGCAGCTCCGTCCACTGCGTGCTGAAACAAATCGTGATACGCATGACCTCCGCCTGGCTCTCCTTCTTGCGCGTGTCTTTGATGCGGCAATGACGGATCTGCTCTGCCAGGTCGTGAAGCTCTCTCTGCAGGACGTGCTGCTTCCAAAAATTCTCGATGACTTTGCGACTCCCCTCCGAGAGGCCCTGGACACTGTACGCCGCCTTGATCATGGCCTTGAACACGTGCAAGAACGGCGGGCCTGGGATGTCGTGGCCTCCAGAACTGCCTCCTCCTCCTCCTCCTTCTTTGATGCGCTTGGCCTGCGCGTGGTAGTCCCTGCCCGCCTCCTTCATCGCCTTCGCGATGGTCGACGCCGCAGGGATCAAAAAGGTCAAGTACACGGCGGCGATCAGGTCCCTGAGCTCCGCCGCCTGCGTCAGTGCCAGGGCCGCCAGCACCTTGACCATTCTCTCCAGCATCTGCGTCTTGTTGCCGCCGCCGACGTCGCCTCCGAGCTCCGTCAGCAGCTTCTTGCGCCCGCCCTCCTGCTGCCCCTCCACTCCCCTCTTCAGGGCCCACTTCGGCTCCTCGAGAGCCATGGGCGTGAGGTGGCGCGTGGGCTACAATATGCCGATGCAAATCAGGTAGATCTTGAGCCGAGTACTCACACAACGGACAATCAAGCGTCGTGGGCTGGACCACCTGTCCCAGATATCTCACTCTCGTAATCCTATCTGGTCTGGCCCTCTTCGATATCACATGACGATAAGCAGCTTGGTGACAGGAAAACACATCTCCACAATACGGACATTGATTCGTCACTACAATCGACGCATACACGTCAGTTCTGCGATGCACACGTTGAATATGTGTCGATAACGCCTTACTCGAACTAAACGATGCTGCACACCCTTCCCCATTCTCAGTGGTAAAAAAAACATTTCCACGACCCATCACCTCCTCCTCCTCCTCGCACATGTCCCCCCCTTTCACGATCCACCGGTGGTTTTTGAACATCCTGAGCCCTCAAGAGACCCACGTCGACCTTGATAAAGTCTTGCCTCGCTTCCGTCTCGCAGACCAGGTCACTAAGGTAAGCATACGTGTCGCTAGTAGGCTCAGTAGTCGACGTGATACGAAGCTCAGACAAGAACCACTCCGCGTCCTCCACCGAGAGCAGGGCCTTCAGGTCCTCTAGTACCCTACGAGCCCAAGGATTTGCATTCTCCGTGAGCCTCCCATCCTCCGTCATCGTCTCCATCCTCTCCCAGTTCATGACCCCGAAGTGCGCCGCTATCCACTGCCTGTGCCTTTCTGGTCGTTTTGCTATGGCTTGGAGTCTCTTAAGACGACGCACCCTCAGTTCAACCACAAGCGAGCATAGCCTCCAGTGTTTTCTGACACGCTCATTTGACCACGACGAGTGCACTCCTTCCACCTCCTCGTGCGCCAATCCACGGAGTGCCTTCCTTGCCAGCTGGTCAACCACCTGCTGCAAGTCTGCCAACTGGCAGGACGACGGAAGGTACGCCTCCAAATTCTGTACAGCAGTGCCCACAACAAAAGACAGAAACATCGCACGCTTCAATCGAAACGGGACCCCTTTCAAAAACCAGAAGCCGCCCAGGGAGTAAAAAGCTTTAAAAATGGCCGCCTTGCGGGCCTTCAGTTCAGGAGCAAAAGCCTGGGCCGGCCTGGGATCCGCCACAAATTGTCCGCCAAGATAGCGAACCTGATGACACACCTCTCCAGGGACTTGAAGCCTCCCCAAGCGTATGTCTCTTAAATCTAAATGCGCGCCTGGTCCTAGCAAACTAATCAAACTCATATGCTTCTTGGTATTTTGAGCACAATTATCTTCGGCCAGCGCCACCGACAGGAGATCAGAAGCCCTTCGCACCCTCGCCAGGAGAGAAGCAGCACGCTCTTTGGGCTTTCCCAGGTGGGAAAGCTCCAGGTCATCAGCATACTGGCACAGTGCAAGGTCGATCGGGTCTGGATCACAGGGGCTCGTAGCCACCATCTGTCCCTCCATCACACCCTCAGCGGCCATCGCACTGCACCACCGCGCAACACTCGGTTGAAAGGCCCTCACCCACGCCGCCACCATAAACGGGTCCCCCATCATTCCGCCACAGCCAGGCCGCAAAAGCACCGACCCGAATTCACACGGCACCGAGATGGTGGCCTGATCCACCCTCTGGAGTCCCATAGGCACCGTACCTCCCTCAAAAAGTTCAGCCGTCGCCAGCTTCAGCCTTACTTGAGAGATACTGCCAAACGCATTAGTGGCATCAAAGTACTGCCTGCAAAAAGATCTGCCCTCTCGCTGCGCTCTCCACGCCAAGATGGATGAAACCAGCATGGGAGTCTCCTTGCACCTACCAGGCTGGAATCCGTGCACATCAGGAGCCATGATCGATCTATTCATCAGAGCCGAGTACCACACTTTACCTATCGCAGGCAACATGTGAACCCATCTCTTCCCAGCAGGGCCCTCAGCGTCAGACTTCCTAAGTCCACTAGCCTGGCTGCAGTGCCAAACTCTCGGCGTGTGCAGAGACGATCTGATTCTCCACAATCCAGATACATCGCTCTAGTGAAGAAAAAAGTGGGCCTCGCAACCCCAGGGGCCCCAACCCCTTCTACTTGCTTCTTGGCAGGGATCCCCGCACCAGGATTCAAAGCCATGTCCCACAATTCTATCGGAGCCGACCACTTAGGGGTGACCCTTCTCTTGCTAACCTGCCTCAGCTTCCTACGCACACGTTTTAAATCCTCTTGTGCTTGCTCCGCTTCGTTCTGACAAAAAGGCGTGCAATACATCTGCTCCTCAGGTAACCCCCCCCCCCACCGCTCAACCTCCACCGCCTCCATCCCTCCCAGAGGTCCAGGCTCCGCCCAGAATCTCAGTTGCTCCTCGCGTGTCGGCAGGGCAGTGCGGACCTCTAAATGTTTTCTTTTTTTTTGGCCCGACCCGCACCCCCGCCGCCATCCTCGCATGAAAAAAGGCTTTGCGAAGATTCCTCGAGCCCCAGGAGTCCCTCAAGTGTTCCAGATGCTCGTCCCTTCTCTGCTGAAAAGCCTGCTTGGCCATTCCTCTGAGTGTTCTAGTGACCTGGCGAATCTCTTCAGTCACTGCCTCTAAGATATCAGACGCTACCCCCTCCAGGGAAGCTCTCAACTCTCTGCGCTGCTTCAACAGACTAGAACGGGTCGCTTCTAACTCTGCTCGCCCTGGCACACTCTGAGACGCTTTCACAAACAACGGGCGAGCAGCATCATACAAGACCTGCTCCAAATACTGAAACAGTCGATCAGGAGAGTCTTGCGACGCAAGTCGCATCCACTCTTGCTGCTGTGCTTCCATCCTCCCCTCCACCCCGTCAAGGAAGTCCCGTAACCCCACCCCCCCCCTCAGCGCAGCCATCATCGCATCAGGGTGCAGCCGTTGCTCTCCCAAGTGGGGCGGCTGCTGGCACGTCTGCTGCTCCTGTCGTGCAAACGACGGGCGGGTTATCTCCAAAAAAACAGGCACGTGATCTCTTTTTCCTGCAACATTGATGAGCTGCAAACGTCTTCCTTTTCCCATCAAAGCTCCAGTCACTCGTACCGCACCAATCATCGACTGCGGTACACAAACATAGTCCAAGACCGAGTTAGACGTCGCACTGAAGAGAGTTGGCAAGTCACACAAAGTCGTGACCGCTGCCATGAAGTGACTCTGCAATACTTCACGAAACGCAGCTCCAGCAAAATATTCAATATTCGCCCCAGGGAAAAAAACCACCTCCTCATCTATCACCTTGTCGTCGTCGCTCTTCTTCAAGCCAATCCCATCATTCAAGTCACACATAACCACTGGTACCGACCTGGACGGGCACGCCGCGAGTTCTCTAGACAGCCACTGCGTCATGGCCCTCACCGTCCTCTTGTAGGCCGGCTGCTTCTTTGTCTCCGTCACCTTCGGCGGGTAGTACTGCGCGATGATCGTGAAGTCCTCTGTGAGCGTGCGCACCCGTACTGAAAGACACCTCCCTTCAAGACCAGCCCCCGCTCGTACAGCACGCACGTGTTCTTCCCGAAAGCGTCTGTGCAATAATACCGCCACTCCGCATGCTTTGTTCGAGTTGGGCCCTCTCTTCCATCCTGCTTCCAGAAGCAGACGACCCTGTACCCTACGCCGTTGTACTTCGAGCTCCCTGGCCTTCAGCTGAGTGCCCGTAATTGCCACTGCATCCACATCATCGAACGTCGCCCCTATATCCTCGATTCTATCCACTCTCGTACACGCCAATGGATTGAACTGCACAAACTTCCATGAAGGGCCAGCTGCACTCTGATGGGTACGCCAGAGTGGCATCAGCGCGAGCAGGAAACAACACAGGCGGCTCATGGCGCCTGCCGCATCTTCCCGCGACTGCCGCTGGCCAACGGTTCAGAAAGGGGAACCTGTTGGTCGCATGTTCAAAGCCGCCCCGTTGTCTGAGCCACAACGGCGGCTAGGAGGGCGAGGAGGGGGAGGAGGAGGAGAGGAGGTGGGACGCGGGGCGCTCTCTCTTCAAAACGAGGACCCAACACCACAGGATGGTTGGGAAAAACGATAGAGAATCTTTTGTTCTAACATGACACCTTTCCACGAATCCCTTGGGAAAAAATTGGACGAAGTGCACACGCGCGCGTCGTCGCGCGCGCATGCCGAAATCCTTCAAAAACCTTCGGTGCCGGAAGGATTTCGGAATCGAGCTTCTTAAACAAACATACGACAACACAGGGTTTCGCAACAGTGATTTGCTAAAAAAGCTTACGCGCGAGCTCTTGCGAAATCTTAAGAAAACCTTGGGTTTTTCAGCATGTTCACAACATGCTACCAAACGGGCTTCGCGCGCGCATGTCGACATCTGTCGAACGCCCTTGCGCGTGTGCCGTCGCGAGAATCCTCTGGCAACGAAATGCAGACGCGCGCGTCGTCGCGCGCGTATGCCGAAATCCTTCAACCCATCGGTTCCGGAAAGATTTCAAAATCGTGTCCAAAAAACCTACAAAAACACAAGGTTTCGCAACACGGATTTTCAACAAAAGCGTGCGTGCGCGCTCTTGCGTCGTCGTCGTCGTCGTCGTCTTCCCTCCTCCCTCGTCGTTGTCGTCGTCGGCGTCGCCTACGTCGTCCTCTGTCTTTCCTCGTGTTCGTCGTCGTCCTCCTCTTTGGCGTCGTGGTCGTTTCCGTCGTCGTTGTCGCCGTGGTCGTCCTTCCTCCTCCGCCCTGGTCGTTGTCGTCGTCGTCCGTCGTCGGCGTCTCGTCGTCGTCCATCGTATTTCGTCGCCGTCGTCGTCGTCGTCGTCGTCGTCGTCGTCTTCCCTCCTCCCTCGTCGTTGTCGTCGTCGGCGTCGCCATCCTCCCTCGTTTTTCGTCGTTCGCGTCGTTGCCGTCCTCCCTCCTCCCTCGTCGCTGTCGTCGTTGTCGCCGTCGTCGTGTTCCCTCCTCGCTCGTCGTCGTCGTCTGTGTTGGCGCGTTGTTGTCGTCGGCGTCGGCGTCGGCGTCGGCGTCGTCGTCGTCGTCGACGTCGGCGGCGTCGTCGTCGCCGCC